CTCGAAGCTCTTTATTTTTTGCTACATTTTATTCTCCATTTTTAGCTTAAATTTTGTCTCCGCCCCCATTCATGGGACAAGTTTTTTTTTTCATTAGAGCATCATTTTTGTCCTTTTTTTTTTCTCTCTCTCTCTCCCTCTCTCTCTCTCTCTCTCTCTCTCTCTTATCTTTATCTTCTTTTCTCGATTAACCGTGACTAAAATTGCGTCGTGGGTTCGACAGGAAACAGATAAGACCATTCCACGGTGTGATATCCACTCGTGTGTTGGGCTTTTTCCGAAAAACCTAGAAGACGTTCTCCATCGGCGCACACGGAACATGTCTCTCCGTCGAAAAATCTTGGGAGGCTTGTGTAAACGTCATAAAACGTTCGCGGCTGCAGCTGTTGGTGAAGAGAAGCGGGAATATAAAAAGAGAGAGAGAAAGAGAGAAAGAGAGGGAAATGGAGATGTTTAGGTTCGAAAGCAATCTTGTGAGTAGGTCGTAAAAGCGGTCGTGTTTACCCCTCCGGCAGGTTTCACGATCGGTAACGAATACGAGCTTAGACTGTAAGCTTAGACATTATTTTTTCTCTCTTCCTTCTTCTCTTCTTTTTCTTCTTCTTCCTCTACTACTTCTTTTTATTTTGTCTTTTTTTTCCTTTTTTTTTTTTCTTTCTTCGTGGGAGTGTTGAATTCGTCGGACTATTTGTCGTGAAAATTGTTCCGACAAGAAAAGGAACTCATTGGTCGTTTCTTTTATTTACAAAAGGAATAAGAAATTATTTCCAATAAAAATAAACTTCAATCGTGCAATCTTTGCACTCATCGGATTAGTTATTAACCTTTTGAGTACTGTAGCCGCATATATGCGTTCAACGAAAGTAATCCGCGTGGATTGAGGACGGGTTTATGCACTTATCATTTTTTTCGATCTTCCTTGGCTCGAATTTCTTTTCCTTTTTTTTCCCTTTATTATTTTATTAAAATAGTTAAACACGTTAATAGAAAAATAATACAGTGCTCGCGGTGATTGCAATCGTTAGGCGAGTTCCGCGTTCAAAGTGTTAAATTATTATTTTTGTGTTACGATTGATGGTATTTGAAAATTGATATTTAGCGTGCAACATATTTCTATGTAACTTTCAATCATTTCTTCTCTTTTCCCAGTAACATTTTATCTAAGTTAAGTAAACACCATGAAATCTTTTGATCCCTTCCGATAGCGATTATACTTTTATCTAACATAGAATTTTTCTTGAACTATGAGCCGCTCGAAAAAAGTCGATTCGGCGAGCACGCGTTCTTATTTCTGTTTAATTTCATTTTATTTTTAATCAGCTAATGAATAATGATTTCAATAATGAAATTATCGTCGGGTCAGAGATTAATAATTCGACGCGTGTTCGTCTAAAAATGATGTGTAAAGTATTATTAAAATAATATTCAATAAATATAAGAGAAAACAAAAATAAATAGATAAAAATAAGCGAACGGACAATCGTTGAAAAGCGGCATCGAATGAATCGAAACTTTTCTCCCTTTCGACTACTCGGCACGCGCGGAAAGTAATTAATTTTAGTTTTCACAGAAGAGAGGAAAAAGAGAAAGAGAGAGAGAGAGAGAGAAAGAGAGAGAGAGAGAAAGATAGAAGGACAGGGAAAAAAGTCGATAATAATCGTTTATAGCAGCGAACGGTGCACCTCTACTCCAATTATTTGTTGCGAACGCATACCAAAAGCTTTGAATTCATTTCGTTTCCTACCACTTGATATCTACTTTGGCTGTAATACAATTATCTGGAAGTGACAATCAAATTATCTTGCACGATCGATCATACGATATTAGTTAACGTTAAATACGATTTCTTTTTTTATATACAATACAAACATCCAAATTATTTATTTCGATCCTGCGACGATGGTCCCAAGATACGAAAAGACCGAAGATCTATTTCTATTATTATTAATCTTTTGATTGCTATGAATGCATATATGCGTATGGTAAAAGTTTCCAGCATGGTTTATCGGCGCATATACGTGTTTGTTAATATGAATGTAAGATAATATAATTTTGGTTTGCGTATTGATTATTATTTTGAGTTTTGGCGCTTAAAAATTCTGTAAGAAACAAAAACTTTAATTATTAACACTTTGACTATGGTTTTTCCTGTGACGCCACGGTGGCCATTGGTGATCGGAGCGTTTGAATTTTTTACAATTGTAAAAATTGAATGAAAATTGTCGGTTAGTGCATTTTGAATATAACCAATGAATAGAAGATACTTTGAAATAAAAAATGCGTCGTTGAATACTTAAAAATTGTTATTAGAAGATCAGTAAATAAGATATTAGAACAAATCTTGCATCTAACGGTGTACTGTGTTAAAACACTTTAAACATAAATGTAGCTCATCAATGCAATTGTGTCACATTTTAGGTACAATTTTTAGAAAATTTTGATCCTAACAGTTTAAAATTTTGTTTATAACACTCTTTGTCAAATTTTCGTGCCAGGTACGCTTTCTCTTCTTTCTTTTGCATTTCGTGTCGCAATCTTCGTCGAATAAGTGTATTTGACGGCTCTGATGCATGGCACTGTGTAAGATGTATTGCGAGTGCCATTCTAAATTCTGATACCTTGATTTTTCTTTTCGTTGCTAGTTTTTCGAAAATAAAGATTCGTGGCCGTTGTAACCAATAATATATAATTTATCCTTTTCGTAGAAATCTATCCCTTTGTGGTATTTTTATAGCTTATTCGCAATAAAATTGATCATCACGGTCAGAAATTATTCGTTGCAACGAATTCCACAACTTTCTCCGAAATTTGACGGAACACACGTACACCTTACTATTATATATAAAATGAGCAAATACTGTTTATTAATATCTTCTACACGTTTCACCAATATATTCTGGAAATTTTGCTTACGACAAAATAACGAATGCGAATAGTTTGTGGAAATAAACGAAACTTTGTTAAATTTGTCGCTATCAAGCGTCACCAAGGCTCGCCACGCGGTGGTCATGGGTTACCACCAATAAGATAAACGCTCCATTCGGTAGAAATGTTGTCTTATATCATCAATTTATTATTATTTTGCCATTATATGCTTTGAATAATAAAAATACTCGAGTAGCGTCCTGAGCGAGACATGTAATTTCAACGTGGCAATCAAAAAAGTGTGTGTTAAATATAATTTATTATTTATCTGGTTAATACAATAATATTAATTCGAACTAATAATAAAATATTTCCTCCCTAAAAAACATTTCAGCTAAAAGTATTCAGCATTCAAAGGGTTAAACTCTTTATCTATGCTAACCAGCATTCCCACATAAGACAAGTATAACAAAAAAAGGTGCATAAACTATACTTAAAATATCAAAAAAGAACATAATTCATCTTTGAAAGAAACTTGTTGTTTCCATTTTTTATAAATAAAATATTTGATATTTTTTGAAGGAGAGTTATTGTAGTATATATATCACACACATATACACACAGAAGGAATAAAATATGATAGAATGAGATAGATAAATGCATCTAGCAGGGAAAGAGGGAAAGATGAAATATGATTGAATGAAATAGACAGATGCATCCTGTAATGAAGAGTGAGAGAGAGAGAGTAAGCGGGGCAGGGGAGGGGGCGGGGAAGGGGGAAGGTAGATGCATCTTCCGCAGGCGTAGAAACAACGATCGATTTTCACTCCAGCGCTTGGACAAATTAATCTGCCCTGGTAGAGCTACTGTTGTTGATAAAACCGGTCGGTGGATCGAGCGGTCGATGGAACGAATACCGGACCTGGCACCATCAATATTAGCATCCCTTTTGAATTCGACGAATTCACGTTGCGAAAGGAACTACCGATTGTCGCTATTGTTGTAGGAAGTAAAAAAAAAAAAAAAGAAAGAAACAAAATAAACGAAAAAAGAAGAAAAAAAACAAGAAAAATAGAGAGAGAGAGAGAGAGAGAGAGGAATAAAAAACATATATACAGGGTGTTAGAAAATATATCGAGTCCGATATTTAAAAAGCTCGTAGTACTCACCGAGATGCTCGAGTTTGATGAAACACCTTGTATACGTTCGCCGATATCGTAGTTTCAAGTTTTTTCTCTTTTTTTTCTTTTTTTTTCTTTTTTTTTTTTTATCGCCGTACGGTTTTGTCTCTCTGTGTGATCGGTTCATTTCGTTCGCACAAGGGACCTTTTAATTGATGCATCCTATTGTCCATCCCTTTTTTGGTTCTTTTTTCTGAATTCGAATCGTTTGTATTTTTATTCAGATACCAAAATGTGGTATGTTGATTTCGAAATAATAAAAAAATGAATGGATTTTCGTTCGAACAAATATAATAAATGGTTAAAATTTTCAAACAATTTATTCCTTTATTTTTCTGTTTTTTTATTTATCTGTCTCTTTAGTAATTTAAAAACAAAAATATATATATTTGTTAGAACGTATAAATATTTGCAGCTATCGGTAAATTGCGTGTTATCTCTTGGGAAATATACGTCTATGATGGTATACACTGTATATATATACACACGTCACGATGGAACACGCGACGAGAGTAAAATTTGAAATATTAAAAAAGATTTTATTTCATATCCGAAAACTCGAGTCCTGACCGTGGCCATGAACCTGTCGGTTTATCAAAGGGATACGTATTTCCGATGGCAGATATATCAAAGGATAATCCCTAGGGACAGCACGCTTTTTATTAATTACCTATTAAGCTAATTAACTTTCTCGTCTGGCGAACAGATTCGTCTAAAGGGTTCTAATTTATTTTTTTTTCACGATATAAAAATAATAATAATAATAATAATAATAATAATAATAATAAAATTATCTCATAAATATTTATGTAAAATAATTTCAATCTTATACTTAATTATACATTTTTATAGATAATTTCGTTAATTAAATGAATTATTTCCTTGTAATTCGATCGTATAAATTGATGTTGAAATTTTGTTATTAATAAAAAAAATAATGTTGTTGTTTAACAGTGAGGCCAAATCTCGCGGAAGATGGTGACTTATACTTCTCGGTAAGCCCTGCTGAACATTCGGTGGTCGAAGGACATCCGGTTCGACTGAGATGCGAGGCTCAACCGAGTACCCGTGTTCAGTACTCCTGGAAGATCGATGGAAAATCATTGGCACCGAGTCCAAGAAGACATCACGTTGGGGGCGATCTCTACATAACTAGGGTCGATCGGATACTCGATAGTGGAAACTTTGTTTGTGTTGCTACTCACGTTGAAACTGCTTATTCGATCGAAAGCTCGCCAGCTAAAATCGACGTACAATGTGAGTAATTATTTATTAATTATAATTATATTTTCACGATTATTTCTGAAATTTTGTAATATGTTTTGTTTAAATCCTAGTAATTATTATGTTCTACGGATCATATTATATTTTGTTCATATGCGTTAATAGATTGAAATCTTTGCGTTTCGATAATTCATAACATTCGAAATGATGAAACAATGATTTTCTCGATGATTTGATAATTATTAACGGATTGGATTAAAAGAAGGAATCATTAGCAATATAAAATGGTCACTTTGAACTCGTTGCCAGGTGAACGATAAAAATCTACACTCTAAAAGATTATTTTTCTCTGGATGTGTTTTTTTCTCGTATATATTCGATTCATTCCTAATTGCAGCCGATAAACCGTTATACCTTTCGCGTTCACGTTGCTTAATCAACAAAGGTAGACACCAGAGAGACCCGAACCCATCGCCCGAGGGATTTCAGAACGACGCTACAGAGATTACAACGCGACTATATCATTGTCACGGCACTTTTTAATCGTCGTTTCTCCGCGAAAAGCATAGATCAAACGTTCCGCGTTCAGAAATTACAGAACTGCAGAGGGTGTAACAAGAAAGAAAGAGAGAAAAGGAAAAAGATAAAACAAGGAGGAAGAGCAATAAAATGGAATAGGAAGAAGAAAGAGTAAGGATAACAGAGAAAATCTGCGAGATAGGGGATGAAGAGGGTGAAACAGAGACAGGACGAGGAAGGAAAAATCGATTGGCGATAGGAATCCCCCCCCCCAGACTACGTCCAATGCTCTTTCCAATTGAATCGCGTTTATGTTGATCCGTTTAAAGAAAATAACAAAGTCATTCAAGGAATAAACTGTATATCGATAAATTATTAATTAACTGTTAATTTATTTTATATTCGAGAATTTTTTTACGCAACGTCGAATTGTGCATTCGTATTTACATTATTAGATATATAGATATGTTTGTTTTTTCTTTTTTTCTTTCATTAAATCATTTATTATTTATTCATACGGATTTTTTATATTCATTACGTTTTTAATCATTCATTTGTTTAGACTGTCGAATACATTACGTAACTCATTTAATAGCATTCGTATGTATAATTGCATTATTAATAATTCATTTATTAACATTACTATCTACATTAACTTACTAATTATTCATTTATTTAGATTGTCAGGTAAATGTATTTATATTATTATATATATATATTCATTTATATGAAGTTGTCACATTCGATATAATATTATTATTTATTAAAATATACACACACAGAGTAATGAATACGACATATTATTTATATATTTTTCATTCGCGCGTGTGCATAGATGACACATGTACACACGCATTAATGCATAGATGGTGTCCACCTATAGGGTAAGAATAATTCTCCATCGTTTTCTCGGAAAAAGCATTAATTCTACTACTAGTGACGCATAACGTTATCCAATTATTATTCGACCGCGCGACATTAATTAAGCAAGATAATTTGCTCTTGAACCGAGCTGCCCAACATGGCGTCGTCATGTACTATACCACTCTCTCTCTTTTTCTCTTTCTCTACAACCCGTTCAGTCGCGTCAAGCTTTACGTTTTAATGATTCGAGAACACTGAGAAAGTAAGAGAGAGAAAGAGAGAGAAGGTTTATGCGACTGGTGAGGAAGGGAAGACGGGAAATAAATCCGACGGCTTGCTCGCCAAAAAGAACGAATGGGAAAAAAATATTTTTATATATATATATAGACATACATACACGCGTGTAAAAATATCAACGCATATATTCACGCACGTGCACGTACGCGGCCACATAATATCATGGTGCGAACGTGCTTTCCTTTTTTTCCCTTTTTTTTTTTTGTATCAGAAACGCACAAACGAGCGCTTTCGTCGAATAGAGTAAAACCGCGAAAGAAAACGTGCGTGCGAGAGTGAGAGAGAGTGGGGGGCTGGAAGGGTGGGCCTAGAGGGGGTACGTTGTAACGACAAGTTTTGTGAGGGGCGGGTGAAAAAATAAAAATAAGTTAAAAATAAAAATAAAATAATAATAATAATAAAATAAAATAAAAAGCAGGCGTGAACAGTGAGACCTCGAGACTTGGTGACTGGCTCGTGCGCTGTATTGAACGAGTAATGAAGAAATTTGCAGAAAAAAAAGTGCATATTATTAAATCGGCAGTGAGACGAAGATGGAATGTCGAGACCGAGAGAGAGAGAGAGAGAGAGAGAGAGAGAAAGAGAAAAAAAAATACGACGATGGGCGTCGTTAGCGGACCCGTCGCCTCGTTATTATGTATCGTTTCATAATTATTATTACACCCGGCTGCCACTGCCGGTGGAGTGCATCGAGCGTGAGTACGTTTTAACGCGTCCTTGATACACCGACGCCCGGCTCGATTCCCTTTGATAATTGCAACAAATATAATAATAATCGTGAATATAAGTATGAGCATAAGAGTAAGAGAGATAATGATGATGATGATGATGATGATGATGATGATGATGATGATGAAAATGATGATGATGATGATGATGATGATGATAAGATAGTGGAAATAGTTATCATAATATTATCCTAATGATCGTCTTAAATATTATCGTTCTCCTCGTTTACGAAAAGATAAATGTTTATCTTGACTAATTTGGCTTTTTTTTATTTCGCATTTCAAAGGTAAAAAGGTACACGGTATGATAATCGACAAGGTTTGTGTTTATTAATTATATTATTAATTAGTAATTTTTTGAACGGTATAATAATTAAGGGAGATATTTATTTTGATGAATTTTCTTGATAACCTAATTTATTTGAATATTTTTAAAAATGATTTTGTTGACATTTCTTATAATACAATATATAGCGAGTTCGATCGAAGGAGTAGACGATTTCTCGTTATTGGACCACGACGTTGAGCTCATCAATGCGTGTTTAATTAATCGACGTCTAGGTAGAAGCTACATCGAGAGTTCTATTCCTCGCGAATGATCTGACGATAATCTCGAGCTCGGTTATCCATGAAATAAACTCTGATGCGTAGTATAACGAGCTAGTATAAGTGAATATCTTTATCTGTATGCGTGTATATGTTTGTGTATACGTATCTATATAAATACGTATATGTGAATTTATATAGATACGTATACAAAATTTACGGGTATAATATACGGAAAACGCGATAAAAGAAGATGCTACGAGACAGGAAAATACATGGGAATAAAAAAGAAAAAAAAAATTCGCGTGATATTCGCCCTAACGCTCGCTTGAATTTTCTAAAGGAATACTCGACGTGCTCGTTTTCCGTTAATTTTTCTTTTTTACTATACATATATCTCACTATTTAAATTCGTCAGAATATATACACGTAAACAGACAAAAAATACGCGTGTACACCTACACACGGGACAACTACGTATATTACATAAATCGAGAAGAGCATACGCGTACGTGCCCTCGCATAATCGAATCGCGTCATTCAAAAGCCAGCATTTTCGTCGATTAAATCCATCTGCACGAATGTGTGTAATTAAAATTTTCGATGTTTTTCTACTTCGTATTTCGTTTCTTTTTTTATCTTTTTTTGTTTTTGTTCTAAAATTAGTTCATCGCTCCTACGATGCGCTACATTTCCTCTTTTTTATTCCGGAGAGTTTATTCGCCGAGTTTTATTCGCTCTGATATTTAGTTTTTAAATATTTATCATAGAGAACAAAAAAATAAGTAAGATAATAAATATAATTATTATTTATATTTGTATTTATTATTGAAATGCGTTAGTTTTAATATTTTAATCATCGATTTTGCTTTGGTTCGATGAATGAATTAATTAAATAATATGAAAAATGTGAAAATCGTTGCGTTTTAAATTGCGAACAATTTGAAAATGAAAACAATTCATCACTCGTTCCTCGTAAACAAAACAAAGAATATCTCTCGTCGTGGAAAGAAACCAAAAAGTATCAACTCTTCTCGGAGAAAATAGAGGGTGGAGGAGGGGGGACGGTACGGAGGGCGTGGGTATGACGAAGGGCCAGAAAAAGAGAGAGAGAGTAGAATGAGAAGGAGGAAGATGAGATCGAGGTGGCTGCGAGACGCGACAATGAATAGGAAGTTGTTTAGCCTGGAGCAGAGCCCATTGCATATGGGGGTGAGTTGGTTCGTGAGAGTCCTAGGAGGGGTGCGTGCTTCGCTCGCAGGAAGATACTATCTGATTTATATTCTGCAAACACGGATCGTTTCCTCGACAATTTTTATTTTTATTCATTTATCTCGTATCCATTATTTATTCGTAATAATTTCTTGCAAATTTTCAATCGGGGTTGGAGGGAGTGGCAGGGGCAGGGGCAAGGAGGAGTGGGGAGGAGGATTATCTCGCATCGATTTGCATGTTAATTTTGTTCACTTTTAATAGACCGTATGCGTGGGCAAGATTAATTACGATATATTTAAAGGACCACTTATAATTGGTTAAATTATTGAAAATGGAAATGTTTAAAATTACGATTGCGTGTTGTCTTCTAGCGAATTAAATTCGTTTAAAGAGTCGAAGAGAGAGAGAGAGAGACAAGCTCGAGGAATTATCTTATCTCGATTAATGCGACAAGAAGAGAGAAAGAAGCTTCTTCCAGGGATATTGCTAATGACATAATACTCAGGAACGAGAGCATTACTGCGAAGACGTTAACGCGATTACGAGGGACAAGCGAGTGTAGGATAATAAGTCCGAAAATGGCTGGTACCGTCTCGTCGCGTAAAATCTTATCTCTTACTAACTATGTTGAAGTTTTAGCGTGTATTATAGGCCTCGATTAAACTTCCTTTCTCTCTTTCTCTATCATCTTCAAGATCGTTCAGAAAGAAGAATCAAGGGATGATGATACCGCTTAGGGGTTGGTGTTTGTCGAGTTTTTGAAGATTAGCAGCATCCCTTCTTGCACTCATAATATGCAGCTCGAATCGACAATTAGGTACCACTCTTTGTTGTCTAACGACAATGAGCCAACGTTTTTCAGTA